CCTAGAGCCCTGCACAGCACCATGCATAGTCCTCTCTGGAGACGATGGCTGAGAAGGTTTGGGCAGAGCCTGCGTGTGATGCAAAGGAAAAGAATAGAAGTGACAGAGACAGGCCAGTGAGTTGGCTCAGTCTGTAGAGGTGCTTGTTGCCAAGATGGAAAGACCTGAGTTCAAGCCCCGGAACTTACATAGCAGAAGACATTAACAAACTCTGCAAATCATCTTCTGACCTCCACACGTGTGTGCACTCACAAATACACATATAATATATAATATAAATATAAAAATGAAGCTGGCAATGGTGGTGCATGCCTTTAATCCCAGCACTCAGGAGGCAGAGGCAGGCAGAACTCTGTGAGTTCAAGGCCAGCCTGGTCTACAGATAGAATTCCAGGACAGCCAGGGCTGTTACACAAAGAAATCCTGTCTCAAAAAAAAGATTAAATGCTGGCCTAGTGGTGCACACCTTTAATCCCAGCACACTAAAGGCAGAGACAGGAGGATTTCTGTGAGTTCCAGACCAGCCTGGCCTACATAGTGAAACCCTACCAAAATAAAGTCTTAATAAAAGAAGGTTGCAAAGGGATTGGGGATGGGACTCTGCGCTTGTCTAACACGCACAAGGCCCTAGAACCTCAACAGAACAAAGCACCAGATCATTGAGAAGGAGACAGGTCAGCATCGGTTGCCCTGGAGGTGGAGGTAAGTGGAAGGTTTCCCGGGCAAGTGCGGCAGTGTGCGGCAGGGCAGCTTGGCCGTTACAGAAGTCAGCACACTGGAGCTTGTCGCTGTTCTGGGTGAGTCTAGAGGTAACGGAAGTTGGTAGCAGGAACCGCTGGTCCCGCTAAGGGCTTGAGGAGCGTGGCAGGTAACCTGCCATGCTTCTGCCGCTCCTCTAACGGGCAGTGAGAGGGGCGTAAATGACAGTCACCTAGAGGGTCTCAGTGGAAAGCTGGGTAGGGAGTGAGAGCCGGACGCCTGGGGTGGACGTGACAGCTGACACCAGCTGTGTAAACACCGAGGGAAGGAGCCAGGTGTAGTGGTGCTTGTCTCTGATCTCAGCACTCAGGAGGCAGAGGCAGGTGCATCTCTGTGAGTTCAAGGCCAGCCTGGTCTACAGAGTGAGTTCCAGGACAGCCAGGGCTACACAGAGAGACTTTGACTCAAAAAATAAAAAAACGAGAACAAAAACAAACAACAACAATTAACAAACAACAAAAAACTAGGAAGATTATGAGTTCAAGGCCAGCCTCAGCTCCAAAGCAAGTTTGAGAGTAACCTAGACTACTAGAGACTCTGTTTCCAAAAAACCCAAGTCTAGGGGCTGGAGAGATGGCCCAGTAGTTGAAAGCAGTGACGCTATTTCAGAGGACCCAGGTTCAAGTCCCAGCACTCACATGGCAGCTCCAGGGGACCTGGCACCTTCACACAGATATACATGCAGGCAAAACACCAATGCACATAAAAAATATAAATGAATAAATCATTAGAAACATAAAGACCTAAGTCAAAACAACAGCAAAAAGGCAGCGCTATTGTGGAAAGTTGGAGGGAAGTGTGTGTGTGTCTAGGATGGATTGTCAGAGGACGCCGGGGTCAGAACAGGATGACTGACAGTCATAGAAGGGACACTGTTGTGTAGCTCAAGCTGGCCTGTTTCAGGTTACAAGTGTGCACCCCAGCAGGCTTGGCTTCAGCGTTTCTCATGTGCTGGTTTGTGATCGATATCTCTGCTTCCTCCTTATTCTCTTCTTTTTTAAAAATTTCTTTATTTGTTTATGAAACAGTTCTGATCCACAGTAAAAATGGGTGTGGGGCTTGCTATACAACCCCGCTAGTCTCAAACTCGAGGCAATTCTCCTGCCTCAGCCTCTCAAGTGCTAGAATTATAGACTTGAACCACCATGCCTCAAAAATGTCTCTTCCGGGGATGGAGAGATGGCTCAGGTGTTAAGAGCACTGGCTGCTCTCCCAGAGGTCCTGAGTTCAATTCCCAACAACTACATGGTGGCTCACAACCATCTGTAATGAGATCTGGCGTCCTTGTATGGCCTGCAGGGGATACATGTAGGCAGAACACTGCATACATAATAAGTACATCTTAAAAAATATTTTTTTTAAAAAATGTCTCTTCCTTAATTTCACCACTCAAATTTTTTGCCCATCATAGGAAATTATGGACTTAAAAATGTGAAAAATTTACATTATTGTGTGTTATGTGTATATCCAAAATATGTTATATGTGTATATATTAACTCATATGCATATATTCAAATTCTTCATGATATATGATTTACAATGTTTTTTCTACCACTCAGTAGTGTCTTTTTATTCTTTTATTTGTTTGTTTGTTTTTTTTTTTTCAAGACAAGTTCTCCTGTGTAGCTCTAGCTGCACTGGAACTCACTATGTAGCTCTGGCTGGTCTGGAGCTGCTCCTGCCTGTGGTTCCCAATGGGACTGCAGGTGTGTGACACTGTGCCTGGCTGCTTCCTTCAAATGTTTATTATGTTAGTTACTTTAGTGTCTGCCTGTGTGTGCAATGGGCGCATTCTGCAGAGAACCTGTGGAGGTCAGAGGGCAGCTTTCAAGAGTCAGCTGTTCCCTTTCATCTGGGGGATCATCGGGGATCAAACTCAAGTGGCCAGCATTGGCGGCAAGCGCTGTTACCAACTGAGCCATCTTGCCAGCCCAGACCTTTTCTTCTCTTAACAGTGTGTTTTAATGAGATGTTCTTAATTTTTGTTGTTGCTTTGGTTTTGGAAATAAGGCCTCAGGTATCCCAGGCTGGCTTTGGATTTGCTGTGTAGCTGAGGATGACCTTGAACTTCTAACCTTCCTGCCTCCACTTCCACTACCACCAGAACGATATACACCTCTTAAAACGACAGTAGTGCATATTGAGCGTGTAAGGCATAGGAGGCAGAGCACTCTACGGGGGTCACATTGCTTAACCTCAACTCGTTAGTTCAGTGAAGCATGTCCTTGCGTCTGAGCTTCAGGCAGTGCCAGGCAGGCTTTGGAGGCAGGTGATGCGGTCTGCCAGGCAGGCTCGCGGGAGGTGGTAAGGCTTAGACAGTGGTGTTACGTAGTAATTTCAGTTTGGAACCTGTAAGTTAGGGTTTCTGTTACTGTGATAAGACGCCATGACCAAAAGCAGCTTGAGGAGGAAAGGATTTATTTTATCTTACACTTCCACGTCACAGTTCATCATCGAAGGACTCAGAGCAGGAACCTGGAGGCAGGAACTGGAGCTGCGGTCACGGAGGAATGGTCCTTACTGGCTTGCTCCTCGTGGCTTGCTCAGCCTTCTCTCCTGTATGATTAGGACCACCTGCCTTGGGATGGCACTGCCCAAGGTGGGTCAGGGCCCTGCCATATCAATTATTAATCATGAAAATGCCCCACAGACTTGCCTAGAGGCCAATCTTATGGAGGAGGCATTTTATCAATGAAGATTTTCTCGCTGGGTGGTGCACGCCTTTAATCCCAGCACTCAGGAGGCAGAAGCAGGCGGATCTCTGTGAGTTCGAGGCCAGCCTGTTCTACAGAGTGAGATCCAGGAAAGGCGCAAAGCTACACAGAGAAACCCTATCTTGAAAAACAAAAAACAAACAAACAAACAAAAAGATTTTCTCTTCCCAGATATATTTGGGTTTGTGTCAAGTAGAGAAAACCACCTAGTAAAGCACCCACAGATTTGAGGTGCGGTACCCAGTTGACAACTGAGATGCAGCTGTGCAGCTCCCACGGGGGTTCAGAGATGTTTGTCACACACAGGTTATCCAGAAGAAAAGAGGTGGAGGCAGATCTTAATAACCGCTGTGGGGGGGATGGGGGAGGGGTTCGGCCTGGGCTACCAAGTGAGTTCCAGGAGAGGTGCAAAGCTACACAGAGAAACCCTGTCTTGAAAAACCAATAATAATAGTAATAGTAATAATAATAATAATAATAATAATAATAATAATAATAATAGTTGAGCTGGAGAGATGGCTCAGTGGTTAAAAGTGCTGGCTGTCCTTCCAGAGGACCCAGGGTCAGTTCCTGGTACCCACATAGTGGCTCAAAGCCATCAATTCTGGTTCCAAGAGATCTGTTACCTTCTTCTGAACTTCAAGGGCACCAGGCACCCACCTGTTACTGAAGCATGATCCTAATTAGTCTTGACAAAAGCTGAAAGATCACAGAAGCAGAGCAGCAGCCACTACAGATACTTCTTACCTCTACGAATCCTCAGACCGAATGGAGGGCAGGGATGCTGTCTCCACCCACCTTATATTTCCTGTCTCCACCTCCCTCGTGCTGGGATTAAAGATGTGCACCACCACTGCCTGGTCTCTATGGTTAACTAGTGGCTAGCTCCGCCCTCTGATCTCCAGGCAAGCTGTATTTGTCAGAACACAAACAAAATATCATACAACATGTTGCACATACATACAGGCAGGTCAAACACTCATACATATAAGATAAAATAAAAATTAAAATCTTAAGAAAAAAAAAGATGGTGGCGGCCACTGGGGACCCAGCTGGGCAAGAGTTCATGCTTCAGTGACTGACAGGAAGCAGTGAGGGTGTTGCTACCTCGTGCAGTGTTCTGGTCTCTCCTCCCAGCCAAGGCCATCTCTTTTGCTCTGAAGGCTTTGCTGTCTTTCCTTCCTTGATGCTATCCACCAGGCTCCCTTCTCCGCAGCTAGCTCAGTTCCTCATTCCTTCTTTTCTCTGGCACAGAGGTGGGGACCCTCTCCTACCTTAGTGTCTGTCTGCCTCTGGTCTTAAAGGGTTGAGAAGGGGTGGGGCCATCTTTCTGTGAGATGGGTGTCCCCTCCTCAGCTCTGGGCTGCCTCCTACTTGGCCACAAGGGGGTGCTGGGTTAGAGCAGGCCCCAGGGGCACACAGGTGGCAGGCTGGCAGCAGAGCTTTAGGGCTGGGTACATATGGCTCCACCCCTTGTGTCCAGGACCTTTGCTCCCAGCCCTAATGACACTGGCCCTAGGTTGCCATGGCAGCCTTTAGTTTGGAATAAACAGTCGTCCTCGCGCTGTCCCATGTAACTGACACCTAAGTGTCTCCCCAGGGACAGGCTGGAATTTCAGGTGTCCAGCCTCTAACCCCCCAGGGTTAGAGGAGGGTGAGTCACTGCACTTTGGCCCTTTACCATTTTTGGTTGCTTTTTTTCTTCTTCTGTCTGGCCTGCTGCCCCCTCACCCAACCTGTGTCCTGCTAGAGTTGGGAAGGGCAGGAGAGAAGACCTGGAACTCCCTTGGGGGCTGTCAGAACAGGTAGTGGGTGGGGGTGAAGGCTTCTGCCGGGCTACCCAGGCCTCAGCTGTTACCCTGCGACCCAAGAGGGACAGTCCACTGCTCATTTCTTCCCTGTCCTCCACGTTCTTGGACCCAGAGTCAGGGCGAGAAGGTGGGGAGGAAAGCAGGGTAGAGCTAGCTCACACACTCACTCGCTGACGGGAACGTGGCAGGGTTTTGAGGAAGGTGAGAGCCATGGACGTAGAGTCCCAAACCCTCCTTGAGCGCTAACCACTATTCACAACATGCATTGCTTCTCAGAGTCCTGGGTTCCTCACGTGTAAATAAGGATAGCATATTGGACTCTCAAGGTCATCTCGAGTATCCTATGGGACAAACAAAAAAAGTGTGGACGCCCCTTAGTCCACAGTTCACACTTGGATCGGGCTTGCAGTCAGTGTGCAGAACTCAGTTATGCCCACAGCAAGTGACACCCGGTCCAGGGGTGCCACAGGCCCGTGTATGTGGGGGTGTCTAGGGGTGGCTTCTCTCTGGCTACCGGGAGGAGAGATTGCCCTGTAGTGTTCATTCAGCAAATGTTTGCTGAGTGGATGGGGTGTGTGGAGCTGGCAGGGAGGGTCAGGCTTCAGCAGCAGGTGCAGGCGGCCAGGAGGCAGAGTATGAGGGAGGGCAGGGCCCCGGGAGGCGGGCTCCGAGGGGCAGCCAGCGCCAGGTGGGCAGGACTCAGCCTCAGCGGACAGACGAGAGAGATGTGACCTTTATTCAGAATGTGATGGGAAGCTCAGGGCTGGGGCGTGACGGGATCAAAGCAGTGTTTGTAGAAGACTGGCCGGCCTGAGCACTGGCAGAAGACAAGCTCGTGGGGGAGGAGGAGCCGGGAACATTTCCTTACCTGGCAGAGGAAAGTGTGGCTCCCCGAGAGGACAGTGATGTCATCGATACCACCTGCAGAGGGGGGCCTGATTAAGCACTGGATCCCTGACTGGCGGGCCTCACCAGCCTGCAAGGAGGGAGGAGAGCTTGGCAGGGGGCTGGGGAATTTCTCAGGGACACCAGGAACTGGAGAACAGAGCCTCTTTTTTCTCCCTCCCCCTCCCCCCAGGTCTGCTTAGGGTGGAGGCGTGACAGGGGCCACGGACCTGGCAGTAGACTGTCCCTTTGTCCCCCAGCCCTGCTCCTGTCTCCTAAGCTGGTTTTGTAACTTATAGAAAGAGAAGCCACTGGGTCCCATTAACAACTGGGTGTCAACTCTAGATCTTAGCACAGAGGGATAATTGAGAGACAGTTTGTGCCTAGCTTTCCTGGGAGGGGAATTTTTGGCTTAGGGCTGGCTGGTAAGATTCTGGGCCTGTAGCCTTCATGAGAATCAATCACCTGGCCCACCTCTTCACCCCACTGTGCAGAGAGGCGGGTCCCCTCTGCTCCCATTTCATTTCAGAATGACCACACATCCGGCAGTGAGTCAGGTGTGCCTCAGGCCCCAGCCCTGGGCTCTGACTCAGCCTGGGCTCCTGGAACCTCCGAGGAGCCTGGGAGATAAGGTTTATGGTCTGTATGGCTCCTGCTTGGGTAAAGCCCGGCCTACAGGCCACCCAGCTGCATTCCACTGGCGGATAGGGAGATGGCCTACTCAGGCTTCCCCAGGAATTCAGACGTCTGACAGCTGTTCTCAGGAACCCCATGAGCCTCTCAGTCTCTGGAGGTCATCTCTCTCGGTCCCCAGGCCCTGTCCTGTAGGGGCTTGTCCTACCCACCATGTGTTTGGCTTCTGGGCAGGCCTGACCCTAAGTAGACTCTCCCTTCCCTTCCAGGTCACTCCTCTCAGTTCTGACAGAACTCGGTTAGGAAGACCTTCCTTTATTCCAGCCTTTCGCTCCTTTTCGGTGCTTAGTCGGAGAAAGGCCTCTGCTGAGGTCACAGGACACCAGTGAGCTGAGAAAGTAAACTGGGTCTCACTATGTAGCCCTGGCTAGCCTGGCAAGCTCTATAGACCAGGCTGGCCTATGCCTCCCTATTGCTGGGATTAAAGGCATGTACTACCACTCCTGGCACTATAATTTAACTAATTAATTAACTAATTAACATGTGTATACACACCAACATCACGGTGTGCTCGTAAAGGTCAGAGGACAACTTGGCGGGGGGCTTTCTTCTTCCGCTGTGTAGGACCCAGGGATCAAACTCAGGTCTTCGGGCTTGGTGGTGATGCCTCTACCCGCTGAGTCATCTTCCTGCCTGGAGTTTTGTTTAATTTGAGTCATAACCCTGATAACAAGTGGATTTTAATCACAAACCCTAGTGTTCTTTGGAAGTGTGTGGTGGTGGGTGGGGGATTTGCAGAATTTGGGGGGACAGAGGGCAGAGTGTGTATTCCCACCTCACCTGTGCTAAGGCTCCCGGGGCCACCTGCCCAGTCTCTGGAAGCCATGCCTTGTCAGAGGTACTGGCTGCTCAGAGGCAGAGCCTGGGTGCTTGCAGGAGAATCTGTGACCTGGTCAGAGAAGAGGGGGGCCCGGCTGAGGAGCTGGAGCCAAAGAGCTGTGGTCCTGCCCAGGTCCAGTGTGCTCTGTGGCTCAGGGAATGTCCCCAGCTTCTGCTCTTCCACAGACTCATGTGGAAAGTAGGCTGTTTGTATGTCCTTCTAGTTTTGGCTGAGAGGTTTTAATGGATTATAGGCAGCCATGGTGCAGGGAGTGCCTGGGGCGGAGGAAACAGGGCCCAGATCTGGCGTTCCCTGTATTTGCTATGTTTTTAACCACCACGCTCAGATTCCTCAGCTCCAAAGTGCGTGTTCTGCTTATTTCTCATTTTCTGTACTACCCCAAGAGAACCCTAGGCCATGGGGTGCCTGGACCCATGTCCAGCCCTCTTGATGTCCTGTGGGAGCCTAGGCTGCACAGTGGAGGCTCCAGGCTGGAGGGCCAGAGGGAGCCCATGTGGAGGCGGCTGTGGGCAGGGCCAAGCTGGAGGAACGGGTAGGTGGGAGGGTGGGAGTAGGGTCCCTGGGCCCTAGAACTGCAGCGGTGGTGTTTTCATGAGGAGCTGTCAGTCAAAAGGAACAGGGTGGAGCCACGGGGGAGGGGGGAGTAGGTGCCTTGTGCCCGCAGGTCCAGGAAGAGGCCCAAGAAACTGGGGAGGTGCAGCCGGAGGCTTCTGAGTGAGGGAACACTGGTCTGGGAGTAAAGAGTCCCCTCCCTTCTCCCCGCCCCCCGTTGGGGCTTTCCCGATGCTTCATGGGTTCCTCAAGCTGCTTTTCTGTCACTAGCAACTCTGAGTGTCCCCTGGATGTCACCTGGGGAACCAGGAGAGGCTAGGAGGAAGAGAGGGGGTGGGTGATGGGGACTGGATGTCACAGTTCTGTCAGGAATGCAGAAACTGCACAGTGACTTGTGTTGCTATGGAAGCATGCCTAACAAGTCCCAGAGGCTAAACTGGCTTAGGCTGGCCCTAACCCAGTCCAATCTCACTGTCTAAGTCAACAGATTTTTCTTTAAGACCTATGAATGGGTCACTGTGTGTGCATTTGGAGTTATCTTGGCCCTTAGAGACGGGGAATCTGGAAGATAGGTGGGGTAAAGGGTAGTAGGTCGCAGGTCACGTCTTTCTTTAGCTAAATTCCCCTCTCCTTCTTTCTCCCTCTCTTCCTCCTTTCTTCCCTCCACCTCCCCAGGTAGGGATGAAACCCACCTTCAGGTTAGGAAGAATCCTACCACTGGGCTATATTCCTGGCCCTGTCTGTCCTGTTTTATCTCACGGTGGAGAAGGCCAAGTCAGCCTTTGGATCCACTGGAGTTCAGCGAGGCGTTTTCTAACACTATAGGTATGCAGTTTGCAAGATAGTCATGGTTTCTGTTGAACGCAGCATTCCAGAGCGCCGGGCAGAGCTCCCTCCAGCCTGCTGGAAGCCTCGGTGGGCAGAAGAGCTTAGAGGCCCAGCGGACGGCGACTGCATGACTGGGCTGGCTCTGTATGGCTCCAGTTTGAGAGTTTCTTTCACATTATTGACAAGTATTGCGTTTCCCCCTCTTACTTTATTTTTTATTGACATTTATTTCTAGGTGTGCGTGTGTGTGCATGAGAGGGCACATGTACCCTGGGACTTACGGAATTAGTTTTCCTTTTCTACCATATGGGGCCTGCTGATCTGTCATCAGGCTTGGCAGCGGGCATCTTTACCTACTGAGCCGTCCTGCCAGCCCTAATATTGCTGCTGCTTCTCCTTCTTCTTTTTCTTCCTGAGAGAGGGTTTCTCTGTGTAGTACTGTCTGTCTGCCCTGGAACTCACTCTGTAGACCAGGCTGGCCTCGAACTCACAGAGATCTCTTGCCTCTGTCTGGGATTAAAGATTAAAGGTGTATGTCACCACTACCTAGTAACTATTTCTTCTTCCTTCTTTTCTTCTTCTTCTTCTTCTTCTTCTTCTTCTTCTTCTTCTTCTTCTTCTTCTTCTTCTTCTTCTTCTTCTCCTTTTCTTAAAATTTATTTATTTTGTGTGCATTGGTGTTTTTGCCTGAATGTGTGTGTAAGGATGTCAAATCTTGACAGTTGTGAGCTGCCATGTGGGTGCTGGGAATTGAACCTGGGTCCTTTGGAAGAGCAGCCAGTGCTCTTAACTGCTGAGTCATCTCTCCAGCCCCGACTATTTCTTCTTTCAAAGGGCACAATTGGACAAGTGTCTCAAGTGGAACCCCTGAAGAAAAGCACACTTAGCCTTTGGAAACCTGGTTGTGGGCCTAGGCTCTGACTGTATTACTTTGGCCGGAGGAATTTTGAACTTTACTGTTCTTATCTGCAAATGGGAATGCTGCCTTCCTCCCTGGCTATTTTATGGTTATAAGTAATGTATGCAAGGACTATGACACTGTGACACTTGGGAGGAGCTGAATAAACGAGGACCATCACTGTCACTCTGCTGCCCACCTTCAGAACCACCACCACCAGCGGGGGCGAGGGTCAGCAGGCAGGACATGGTTTGCATGGCTTGTTCCCTAGGAACTGGATTTGCAAACAGTTTTGCATGGAGGTGGATTTTTGCCTATTATCTCCTCGTTACAGCCCTGTGGGATCCTCCTTATCACCCCAATTGCCACCTCCTTTTATGTACTCTCAATCCTCACCGCAAACGCTTTCCTTCAGTCATCTCTTGTTGCCCAGCAGGTGCTGCAGAGGAGACATTGGTCCGTCCCCAAGAAGCTGCTGCATGCCGAGGTGGTAATGGTTAAGCTAATGTGAACTGAAACCTACTCTTGTGCCCGGGTGGACCGTTGTTCTTATCTGCTCTCTGAAGGATGTGCGGTGCACATTTCTGGTTGATGAAAAAGAATCTCAGAGAGGTTAAGTAACCTGCTCAGCTTCACACAAGAAATCCTTCAGATCGTACCTGTCCTTGGAGCCTTGGTCCTAGCCACAGCAGAAGTTTTGAGAGAAGGCAGGGACATTTCCCCTAAGTGAGGAGTCTGACAGGCCACCCCCCTGTCTCAGCTATAAGAGCTTAAGTGTATAATGTATCCTAGACACCTTTTATTCGCTGCCCGCTTCTTCAGGCCAGTTGTAAAAATCAGACAAGAGCTGAGGGGCTGGGGACCTAGCTCTGTGGTAGAGCAGATGCTCAGCATATCCTAAGTCCTGAGACTGATGCTCAGTACGCTCCTCCCCCTGGGGGAAAAAAAAGTGCCACTGTTTTCCAGTGTGGCATGATGAGCAGGGGAGAAAATAAGACTCCGTCACTGGCCTCTGTGAACTACTTGATATACTTTGACACACCACCTAGCTGTTCCACTGTTCCTTAAGGATTTTGTGCTCACCCAATGGCTTTTTACATTTCCAGATCTTTGCATCCACCTTGTTTTTGGGTTTCTGAGTTTTGTTTGTTTTTTATTTATTTATTTGTTTTTTCTTTAAGACAGTATCTCTCTACATAGCCTTGGCTGTCCTGGAACTTGTTCTGTAGCCCAGGCTGGCCTTGGACTCACAGAGATCCACCCGCCCCTGCCTCCAGAGTGCTGGGACTAAAGGCGTGTGGTGTGTCTCACCACCACTGCCTCTGTTTTGTTTTTGTGATGCTGGGGACTGAGCCTCGGACTTCTCAGTGAAGACAAGTACTTTACCTCCAGCCTTAACCCTTACTTTTCTAAGCTGGGTACGGTAGAACACGCCCGCATTCACAGCGCCTGGGAGAGGAAGCTGAAGCTGGAGGATGGCTACGTGTTCAAGGCCAGCAGGGACGCATAGCAAGTTTCAAACCAGCCCGTGGTACAGAGTCTGCTTTTTGTTTTTTTTTTTTTCTAAATTCAGTTTGGTCAAGGGTCTCCTTGCCCCCAAAGTTCTAAGACACACGTCTTAATCCTTTATTTATCCAAAATCAATATTTTGTTGGCAAGGCACCAGAGACTGGCTCAGTGTGTATACTGATATCTTCATGATCTCTGGGCTTCCACATCTTTGTGTACATTCGCGTTGGTGCCTGTAATGAACATCTGTTGTTTTTCGCCCGCCCCGAATCTCCCCCCCATGTCTTTTTCAATCTCTTTTCCCTCCTTCCCTTAGTTTGAATGGTCCTGACCCTTCCCCCTTTCCTGGTGGCTCAGCATGGGTTCTATGTAGCTCAAATGACAGCATTTTATTGTTCTTCCAACCGAAGGCTTGCTTTGGAGATAGTCGTGTGACCTGCCAGCCCAAGGAGAGTCGCCCTTGGAACTTCAGCTGGAAGCATCTGGAAATAAGCACTCCTTCGGTGGTGTCCCTCCTTGTCACAGCTTGGACATGGCCTCCTGAGGAGACCAAAAGAGAAGAAAACAACCATTGAGCCCCTTTGGCTAGAGTACAAGCCAATTGTGAGAACAAATAAATGACCTTACATGCTGACGCTGAGTTGACTGGGTCTCAGCCATTTGCTGGCGGGAGCCCAGAGCTATAGCTTGTGTTGTGTGTTGGACACATGCCTTATGTGCTGCTGCTGCTGCTGCTGTGTGTCCGCACATGTGATAGGCATGGGAAGGCAGTGTTTATGAGTCTGAGAGGGTAGTGGCAGGGAGGGAGGAAGGGTACACACACTCATGCTTATCTGCGTCATGGGGGTGTGAGGTAGCTGTGCTCCTCGGAATATACGGGTGGGCCACATGTATGGGAGAGGACAGAACTCATGTGTATGTGTGAGTGTACGTGTGTGTGAGTGTATGTGTGTGTGTGCACGCGCGCACATAGGATGGAGGGTCTCTGAGGTACAGTTGAGGGTGTGTGTGTGTGTGTGTGTGTGTGTGTGTGAATGTGTGTGTGTGTGTGTGTGTATAGGAGGGGATGGAGGGGCTCTGAGGTACAGTTGAGGTTGTGTGTGTGTGTGTGTGAGTGTGTGTGAATGTGAGTGTGTGTGTGTGTGCATAGGATGGAGAGGCTCTGAGGTACAGTTGAGGTTGTGTGTGTGTGTGTGAATGTGTGTGTGCGTAGGAGGGGATGGAGGGGCTCTGAGGTACAGTTGAGGTGTGTGGCATGTGAGCTGCTTTTCTGGGAGAGAACCCGAGGTCCTGCCCAGCTTTGCATTCGTATATATTCAGACTTCCAAAAGCACTTGCTCTAAGCCACCTGCCTGGCCAGCAGGATGGCTCAGCCAGAAAAGCCATTTGCTGCACAAGCCTGGTGACCTCAGTTCAATCTCCAGAATCCACATAAAAGTGGAAGAGAGAAGAGACTCCATACGGTTTCCCCATGACTGCCACACACATCTTCAGCAGCTCACCCACATGCTGTGGGACCTCAGCTTGACCACATAGTCTCTCTGTCTCACACACACACACACACACACACACACACACACACACACACACACACACACACACAGACATACAGACACACAGACACATACACAAACACACACATACACACACCACTTGAATACTACTACAAATAAAACAAACAAACAAACCCAAAACAGCCTGTCTATTATCATCAGCTCCACCCAACTAAAAATCCTCATTGCTTTCCAACGACCAAAGCCAAATTCCTTAGATATCCAAAACTCATAAAACTTTTGTTGATGATGGTGAAGCTGGAGCTCTCAGAGGCAATTTAGACACACCCATGACTATCACCGGAGGAAACGGACAGGTGGGACCTGTGGGGGCCCTGGGAGAGTTCCCCAGATCAGAGGCATTTCTTCCCTCTACCCAAGCAGATGGACCGGTGGGCAGGGCTGGCCTTGGGGCACTCCCTTTTGAGCAGACTCCCTCAGCCTTTCCTCTCCAAGGCTGTGGTTGCTTTTATGGCTGGTGATTTACCAAAGCTCCTGTGATAAATGGGTATTTGTGGCCTCCAGCTCAGATCTGGGCCCTTGATCTCCAGCCTTGTTTCCAAGGCAGCCCCCGCTGTGGCTGTTTCTCTGCTCTCTAACCCTTCTACGCCTCACTACGCCTCCTGGCCAGGGTGTCTGACGGCATGGCTGTGCAGAGTACGCTCTGACCATGTACACATTGGCCACTCAGTGTGTATCCCAAAGCCCCTCTGTCGTCGTCGTCGTCGTCGTCGTCGTCGTCGTCTCCTCCTCCTCCTCCTCCTCCTCCTCCTCCTCCTCCGTGGTTTTTCGAGACAGGGTTTCTCTGTGTAGCTTTGGAGCCTTTCCTGGAACTCACTCTGTTGCCCAGGCTGGCCTCGAACTCACAGAGATCCACCTGCCTCTGCCTCCTGAGTGCTGGGATTAAAGGCGTGCACCACCACTGCCCCGTCCCTCTGTCTTCTTACTCTCTGATCTCAATTTTGTTCTTCCTACCAGGTTCCCCCCCCCCACTTCCCCTCTCCCGTATCAATACCCTTCTGTTCTCCATCCTGCCATTCACAAATGGCCATTTCACATATGACCCAACTGAGGGGAAGGCTGGTGATGGCCTCTGCCAGCTGCAGTGGGCTGAGACATCAAGGCTAGGACGCCTTCCAAAGGCCACCCTGTCTTTGTCTTTTCAGGGCTCTGGGCCCGGAGGCTTCCTCCTTTATGTCAGCCATGGAAATATCACTGATCTTGTGCCCCTGGAAAGCAGGAACAGACCCTTCTTCTCTTTACCTGGGTCCAGGCTGCCCCTGAACTTGCTATGTTGCTGAAGATGACCGTGAACTTCTGATCCTCTTGTATCTACCTCCGAGAGATAAGATTATAGGTGTGCACTACCATGCTTAGTTTATGTGGTGCCGGGAGTGGGACTTCTGTGAGTACTGGGCAGGCACCCTTCCAACTGAACAACCCTGGCCCCAAGTGCCTCTTTCTTGAGTAGCCCAGAACATCCAGGGCCCGAAGCATTTGCACGGGATTTGTTAGTTTCCTGGGTCCTGACTGGGGTGCCCCGGCAAGTTATGGGATAGCTGGGCAGTCACAGATTCTTAGCCAGCCCATGAATCATAGGTGTTTAGGGGGATGATTGGAAGATGTTTTTCCAACTACAAAAGACTCCCTCTAAAGGAGGGCCCTGGGATGTTCCAAGGGACTGGGGGAAGGAGGAGAGGGCCAAATGGAAACTTGGAAGTTTTCATTGTAGACCAAGTGGGCCACAAGCAGCAGCAGTGTGAAGAAGGATGCTTGGCCACCTCACCCAACACAGGGTCCTCCAGCTTTCTTGGGCCTCCAGATGTTCTTCCCATCAACTATGGCTGTTCACAGTCTCTCCTTAGACCCTGCCCTTCTGGGTGCCCATCTCATGCTGTTAGACTCTTGTACAACTTACCTTGTTCTTTATCACCATGTCATAGCTCTGAGCAAGGAGACAGAGCCACGCAGCTGTATGACTTTGGGTATGTTTCTTTAAATTTATTTATTTGTGTGCATGTGTGCGCGTGCGTGTGGTGTGTGTGTGTGCGTGTGTGTGTGTGTGTGTGTGTGTGTGTGTGTGTGTGTGTATGCACATGCCATGGTATGCCTGTGAAGGACAGAGGACAACTTGTGGGAGTCAGTTCTCTCCTTCTACCTATTTTATAGCATTATTAGGAAAAGTAAGTGATATTTATAATATTATAAGGCTTGATTTTTGGTTTTTGTTGTTGTTGTTTTGTTTTTGAGACAAGCTTTCCTGGCTGTTCTGGAACTCACTATGTAGACTAGGCTGGCCCCAAACTCAGAGATCTGTCTGCCTCTGCCTCTCAAGTGCTAGGATTAAAGGCATGCACCGCCACTACCTGGCTATTATAAGGCATCTTCTGGTGCTGTGTAAGTGTCCCTGGGACTGTACTAGAAGAACACTTCCTGAGCTTGCTTACTTCTCTCCTGGGTAGTCAGTCCATTCCTGTCCTGAGGTTTCTATCATCAGAGCTGTGACCTACCATGAAGAAAAAAAAAATACCAATCAGCCACACCTGGTGGTCTGTAGCCCCTCCCGTCTGTCTGGAAGGCCGAGGCGGGAAGGTGATAAGAGCAACCTGGATGCCAGAGTAAGTTCATGCCAGCTCTGGCGACTTAGTGAGACTATCTCAAAATACAAGGGACTGAAGAGAAGCCAGGGCTGTGGCTCCGTGAGGGAACACTTGCTGTCCGTCCTTTGCGTCTCTATTTGTCAGGCACTGGCGATGAACAATTTCACCTTGGGGCACACAGCACAGAGCCAGCAATTAACTCTATTACTCATCCTGCGGCTTGCAGATGGCTGTCCACGCCATCTGTGGCTTCCTATTTAAATTGTTCAGCTGCCTCAGTGTACCCCCAGGTATTTATACGCTGCCGCTTATCAATATTTTAAACGATTCCATTGTTCAGAGTGAATCTGACGCTTTCAGGACATCACCCCGGTGCAGGGACAGCTTTTAATTCTCCTTCTGCTTCTCATCCCAGGCCTGGCCTACAGACTTAGCTGCTCCTTAGGTGGAGCTCATTTATGCCTCTGTGTCCCCCCTGCCCTCCCCCTCTGAGATAGTCTCTTGCACTTCAGGTTGGCCTTAAACTCAAAATGCAGCTGAGGATGACCCTGAACTCCTGCTCTTCCTGCCCCCACCTCCCAAGTGCTGGGATTGCAGGCGTGGACCACCACACCCTGTTTATGTGGTGCTGGCACCAAACCCAGGGTTTCTTGGCATGCTAGGCAAACAGTTGAGCTACATGCATAGCCTCGGAATCTTTCTCTCTTTTTTTGAAAATTGTATTTTTAAAAACGGCATTTATTTATTTGTACCTATGTGTGCAGAGGCAGGAGAGAGCTGGGTCTTAACAAGGGGAGAAAGCCTCCTTTCCCCCTGAGCTCTCCAGGAACGGCAGATGAGGGCGGAGCTGTCCTGCATTTGCTGGGCTCACTCACCTCTCACCGCACTCATGAGTCTCCCTTTTGTTGAACAGGCTGCTGTGACCACAGTGGCCAGAGAATGCCTTACAAGGAGTTGTACCCGTGGCTGCCCCAGGCCGGTTCCTTCTCCTCCGACCACTTGGCCCTAGTCCCTGGGGCCTTTCCCTTCTACCTCTACCCTGGGGACATTCCAGGCAGAAGCCACTGGAAAGGGCAGCTCCGGCCTCTCTTGATGAGCAGGGGCCATGTTGGGAGGGGTTGGTTGGGGTCTCTGGGCAATAACAGGGAGTTGACAAGCGATATGTTTCTGGACCGGAGTGAGGGGCACCTCCTCTGTGAGCGTTGGGTTGATGCTTTCTGCACAGCTCGGGGACCTTTCCATTACTGCCCCTTTGTCCCCACCTGAAGAGACACCCCTAGGACCAAGGAATCAGGTGGCTAGGGTGGAGGAAGCTGAGATTTCAGGACGCGTGCTGGGTGGCTAGCTTTTATGCTGCGCGAGTTGTCTAATTCAGTTCCTTGGGAGCATTCTCCCTTCGGGTCCCTCCAGAAACGGCGTGGGGGAAGGGAAGAAAGGGAGAGCTGGCTGTCGCTCCCCGGGGCTGCCATACCTGTCTGACCAGCCCTTCCTTTTCTCCTTCCGTTTTCTCTCACTGGCTTGGCACCAGCCCCGGCTCCCTCCCTGTGGTTTGCTGGGAAAAGTCGCCAGTCTTGCTGGGTGTGGGCCCATGTGAACACACACCCAAATCAGCTTCCACCTTAAAATGGAGTGTTGTTTCAGGGGCTGTGAGGGGTTGCCTGGTGTAAACAGGCTCTAACTGGATTTCCCTCTTGCTAGCAATGCTGGAAGCCCAAGGCTGGGGACCTGGAGTCTGGGCTAGAGGCAAAAGACACGCAAGGAAGGGCCATGGTCATTGTGTGCCCTTTGGGATTTCTAGACTGGCCTTTCTGGAAGTGACCTCAGATGTGTGTGTGTGTGTGTGTGTGTGTGTGTGTGTGTGTGTGTGTGTGTGTGTGTGTCTGCCCTCTACCCTGTCCCCAGGGGATTCGGATACCTGTCCTCTTTTGGTTTCTCTGATTAAGACCCACCCGATCCCCACACATACCCCGCAGTGCCGTCAGGAGAGCCCAGCCCATCAGGTAATTTAATTGCAGGTGGAATCTTTGCCTTCGGGACCCAAACCTCTTGTCTTCCACCCACAACCTGCCAAGCCCGCCCCACCCAGGCCTGGAGGGCCTTGCTCTGCTCCCCTGTCTGCAGCCTCCCACAGGTGCATGCTGTGCCCCAACTTGCTCTCCTGACTCACTCTGATAATGGGGTAACGAGTTCAGAGAGACAGGTGCAGGGAAAGGATGCTTTCCCCATCATGTCTGGCTGCTTGGGGAGGCTGGGGAAGCAGAAGGGGGGGGGGTCCGGGTGGCTGGGCCGGCCGTGCCATCCGGTCCCACTCACACTTTGTCTCATTTCCCATGACTTACTGCACTGGGAGCCTCGGGAAGGTGTTCATTCCCAAAGAAGCAGCAACAAGGAAGACCCCAATGCCTCTCTCCTCTTCTCTGCCCCTCCCTTTCTGCCTTGGCCTCTGTTCTTCGTTCTTTTGCTATTCTTTGAGGCCTACAGTGCTCTGCCTGGCCTGGGGAATTCTGGGGTCTTGATAGGAAAGGAGACTACTGGGCTGTGTCCAGAAGAAGAGCTGTGTTTGGTTTCTCTTTACCTTGCACCCAGTGAGTGGACAGCTAGAAGCACGTGTTTATTCATTTAGACCGCCAGTGTCTTCTCAGCCCCTTTTGGCAGCCTGGGGTTTGCAGGATGTGGTGTAGGTAGGGGAGCGGGGTGGTGGTGGCTGCTGTAACCTGGACAGACAGGGCAAATAGGAGCCTGGGAATGGAAGGGTCCTGCTGGCCAGATTGGCCAGCCCCACCTAAAGGAGGGTTTCTTTGAGGAAGTAGAAGAGTCCAGCCGGAGGTGATAGGGTACACCCACAAACCCAGAACCTCAGTGCTGGGGTGGTAAAGGCAGGTGCCAGCTTTGGTGGCATAGTGAGTTCAAGCAAGACCCTGATTTTTTTTTTTTTAAGACCCCAAATGCCAGGGAACCCTTTCCACCCAGACTTCCCCAGTAGTTCTCACAGAAGGCAGGAGGCAAGACGCCTCGATCCCAGGGCTGGGAGACCCCAGGCTTACTTCCTGGTCTCCTAGGAGCTCAACTGGATTTTTAGGGTGGGGTTGGAGAGGGAGCCTGGGTGGGAGCAGCTCTCTACTGCCCTCACCTGAGTCCTGCCCGGAGGTAGCAGACGTTGGGTTAGGCCCTGCCCTCTCAGTGTCTAGCCACTCAGGTAAGAGGTCTTTTTCCCTCCCCTGGGGCTGGGCTCTCTTTTATAAAGAGCTGGGCGCTGTCCCGCGGCCTAGAAGCAGCTGCTCGCTCGCTCGCTCGCTCTCGAACCTCCGCCTTCAGCGTACTGCCATCACTCCAGACTTCACCATGTCCATCAGGGTGACCCAGAAGTCCTACAAGGTGTCCACCTCCGGCCCCCGGGCCTTCAGCAGCCGCTCGTACACGAGTGGCCCCGGTGCGCGCATCAGCTCGTCCAGCTTTTCCCGGGTGGGCAGCGGCAGCAGCTTCCGGGGAAGCCTAGGCACCAGTATGGGTCTGGGGGGCTTCAGCGGCGGGGCTGGTGTAGGGGGTATCACGGCAGTCACGGTGAACCAAAGCCTGCTGAGCCCCTTGAAGCTGGAGGTGGACCCCAACATCCAGGCCGTGCGCACCCAGGAGAAGGAGCAGATCAAATCCCTTAACAACAAGTTCGCCTCCTTCATTGACAAGGTGAGAACCCCCCCCCCTCCGCCCTCCGCCCGACTAAACTGTCCCGAGCCCTTCCTTCGGCCGTCACGGAGGATGGGCACATCGCTAGCCCCCCACGAGCTTCTGCTGTGCCTTACCCATCCTGGCCACACTCCCTTCCAGGTTCTCTCATACACTTCGGTTTGGGTCGAGAGGGCCTGAAGTGCTTGTGACTAAGTCCTCTTGCACTCCCTCACCCGAATCCGCGCTCTGCCCTGCCTATCCCGATGCTGGCGGGCCAGGCGCCTTCACTGTCGCGCTCGGCGGCTCTCCGGTGGCCGGGAAGCCTCCCCTCCCCTCGCACCGCCCCAGGATTTCCTCTTGGTGCCCTGGTGCGTTTTTCTTTCTTCCTGTTAAATTACGAAGGGTTGGGTAGGATCCCAGCAGGTCGCAGGTGTCTCGATTGAACCCGGCAAACGCAGATGGAGGTCTTTGGTGTCCGGGGACAGAGTGTGGGGCTCAGGCTGAGTCACTGCTTGGCCCCTGCCCGGCTCGCTCAGTGTGGGCGGGGCCGCTGCGGAGCCAGGGCGGAGGTCGGCGGCGTCCCGGCTCTGCCCGTCCACCAGGAGGCGCTCCGGCGTCGCGGGGGGAGTCGCGGGGCTCCGCCTCGGGAAAGCCCGTGCGGGATTCAAAGTCTGCGGGCGTTGGACACCCCAGTTTCACGACCTGTTAAAACCGGAGTTTATGGCCCCAGATAGCGTCGGCCTGCCAACGCCCATCTGCCTGCTTGGCCCTTGTACCCCCTTTCGGCTTCCCACCCTGGCTCCGCCCCAATCGCCTGGTCCCTTCGCAAGTCCAGAGCCAGGCCAGATTTTGCAGTCCTGTGGCTAGGTGGCCTGCCTTCGTGGCCCCAGGACGATTGGCCCTTTCTGCTGACTGGCTCCTAAGAGGCCGTGCGGGAACGGGAGGAGGGAAAACACGGGGCAGATGAGCCCGGCGGAGTCGGAGGCCCCAGGAGCGCCTGCCCTTCTCACCAGGGCTTGCCAGCTGCTGTTAGGGCCCTTAGCTTCTCATTGCGACCTGACCTGATGGAGAGCAGTCGGTGCAGGCTGGAGGAGTGTGGCTTCTGGTTACAGGGCCCCACAGTTTCCTGGGATGGGCCATGTTGTCAACTTGACTTCCTCATCTGTAAAATGGACAGGCGCTAAATCACTTTCTGCCTGCTCAGCTCACACTGGGGGAAGTTTGGCAGCGCCTGGCCGGAATTCATCATTCCATTAGGATGAAATGGTTGAACCACTGGGGCTACTTGTTTATTTTTATTTTTAGTAATTGCGGTGAAGAAAGGATCTGCCTCATGGGTGGTGGGAAAGTAATCCGATTGTACCCCCCCCCCCCAGTTTAAAAGGTTACAGCTTCAGGCTGAGTGCACAAAATGCATTTCTCCCCTTTGGAGCGCTCTGTTAGACGTGTGAAAGAGTTCCTCCCGTACCATGTCTTGGATTGCATGTTCTAAGATGTGAGTTCTGTGTTTATGGTGGGAGGAGAGGGCTGTGGAAACTGGGCAAGAGGGTGTGGAGACGCCAGAATCTGTGAATCTCAACGCTTGAGGCTGCAGGGTGGGAGGGAGACGTGACTGCCTCTTCCTCTGCTGAAAGTGGGCTCTGTGTGGAGAAGGAACTCCCTAAAGCGCCTACCCGAGCTTCTGGAGGCTTTTTCAAGGTTAGAGAGACCCAGACCAAGTTACACAGCTCGAGTTAGCAGCAGTATTGACGTAGAAGCCTTAGCAACCACTCTGGGCCTCAGGGAGAAAGTTCCCTAAAATTTCCAGGACCTGCCGGGCGGTGGTGGCGCACGCCTTTAATCCCAGCACTCGGGAGGTAGAGGCAGGGTGGTTTCTGTGAGTCTGAGGCCAGCCTGGGCTACAGACTGAGTTCCAGGAAAGGCGCCAAAGCTACACAGAGAAACCCTGTCTCAAAAAACAAACAACCAAACCAAACAAACAAACAAATAAATTTCCAGGGCCTTTCTTCAAGGTCCCTCCAAATGAAGACTGATATTATCTGATGTGAATAATCTATCCCCTTCTCATACATATATAAAAGGTAATTAACACACCCTCAGAAAGTGGGGCTTTTTTTTTTTATTGATCTGTGATGTATAGTCTATGCAAATAAGGTCTGTGCTGCAGGTACAGCGTTAGCCTTTCCCGTTCCAAGTGCTGGAGGGACATGGCTCCAGATGCCACCGTCTCACTGTGCTGTTCCCCGGGTCATAGGTGGGACATGGCTCCAGATGCCACACCGTCTCACTGTGCTGTTCCCCGGGTCATAGGTGACCCCTTGCTCAGGGGAGAGGACAGCGCTCGTTCCCTCTAGACCCTGACCCTAGCCTGATGTGGCCCTTTTGCTGTCCCCCCCCACGCAGGTGCGCTTCCTGGAGCAGCAGAACAAGATGCTGGAGACCAAGTGGAGCCTGCTGCAGCAGCAGAAGACGTCGAGGAGCAACATGGACAACATGTTTGAGAGCTATATCAACAACCTGCGGCGGCAGCTGGAGACCCTGGGCCAGGAGAAACTGAAGCTGGAGGCAGAGCTTGGCAACATGCAGGGCCTGGTGGAGGACTTCAAGAATAAGTGAGCCCCTCCCCAAATGAAGTCCGCCCACCTTGCCCCACATTTTGAGACAGAGGCCCAAGTCCCCACTGCCCGCCGCTTGTGGGCAGTTTGGTCCTGAGACCCTATGATCAGTTTTATTTGGGACAGTCTATTTTATACTCACCATCCAAGATGCTGATAGTGTCCGCCTGCTTTCAATGCCAGGACTGTCTAGATTTGGGTAACAAATTTCCTGTTTAAATAGTGTACCTAAGCTGGGTATGGTGGCATACATGTGTAGTAGTCCATTCAGGAGGCAGAGGCAGGAGGATTATGCAAACACAGTCTGATCTTCATAGTGAGTTCCAGGCCAGCCAGAGCTACACAGTGAGATTCTGTTTTTCTAAAAAAAAAAAGTGTACTTAGATGAGAGAGGCAGCTAGCAGTCTTCGATTTCACACTAACAGCCATGATCCAGCCTCTGGCGAGCTCCAGACAGTGCTCTGAGGTCTCCTGTCAGGCCCCATGCTAACTCTCTCAACACGCCAAATCTAGCGTGTATTTGGAGAGTGCATTCCTGCTCTTGGCCTCCCCACTGGCTGAATAAGGTTGGGTGGGAGAGGGAAATGGTAGGGAGGTCAGATGGACCAGCCTCTCGTGCCTTACATCTCTGAACTAAACTTTGTAGACATTCATTTCCCCCATCAGAAAAGAAGGTGGGTAGGAGTGAAATTCTCTGCGCGCCTGCGTTTGGCTCTGCGTGCATGTGTGCATGGGGCTCCGTCCCTGGCAGCAGCAGACACAGGGCAGCCTTGTCTGCACCTTTGCCTGCTGACTCCAAGTCTTCTCTCACTAGGTACGAGGATGAGATCAACAAGCGTACAGAGATGGAGAACGAATTTGTCCTCATCAAGAAGGTGAGGGTCTGGGGGGCTGCAGAGATGGCTCAGTGGTTAAGAGCACTTGCCTCTCTTCAGAGGACCTGAGTTCAGTTCCTAACACCCACATCCAATGGCTCACAACCACCTGTAACCACAGCTCCAGGGGAGCCGATGCCCCAGCCTCCGGCACCTGAACTCATGTGTACATAACCACATTCAGGCGTGCACACTTACACATAATTAAAGATAATACAAACAAATTTAAAAAAGAAGTCGAGGGTCCTCTAACCTGCATGCAGACCAGGAGCGTGAGCTTTGGGACTTAGATGAGGAGTTTTCTGATGACTTCATTGCTTTCTAAGGAATAGGACAAATTCTTTTGCCATCTGATGCAAATAATAGATAACATAATAGAAAGGTAGACAAGACAGAGAGTTAGTTTCCTGCAGTTAGATAGTATTCCAGGTATCAAGTTGGACAAAGTTAGTGGTCTAGCCTTAGCTTTCTAGAGGAGGAAGGGTGGGGTGTGGGCCTGCAGGAAGCAGAGATAAAGTTCTTGGCTGGGATCCAGAGGAATAGACAGCAGCCAGCCACACGTCTAAGCCATGGGCAGATGTTGGGGAGCCCCTGGGTACTGAACTCAGGCCCCTCCCCTCCCCCTCAGGATGTGGACGAGGCGTATATGAACAAGGTGGAGCTGGAGTCCCGACTGGAAGGGCTGACTGATGAGATCAACTTCCTTCGCCAGATCCATGAAGAGGTACTTTCTCCGGGGCTGGAGTGGGCAGGTCCTTCAGCCTGTCAGTATCCTACTCTGGCACCTAGACGGTCTACCCCTGTCGTCCAGCACACCACTCAACAAGGGTCCGATAACCACAGCCCCAGTTAACATTGTTGTAGAGGCTGCAGCCCCTACTTGAAATGGGGAAATGGGCTCCGAGAGGCGAAATAACCCATCCCAGGTCCTCATACAGAGTGGCAGCCCAGCCTAACTCAGACTCGCGGTGTCCTCAGAGCCCCTGTTCCTGGTCTTTGCGCTGTGTTGAAGGCCTCTGGGCTTAAGTGTTGGGGCCGAGTGGGGACAGGGTCTTCCCCTTGCCTGTTTACCCAGCTTCAGGCTTTCCTTGCTGTCTCCCTCCACGGCTCAGAGTTTTGGCTGTCTTCCTTCCGCTGATAACTTGGATGTCTCTAAGCCCTAGCTCTCACTTGCAAAGGACCCTGTGTACAGGGACAGAGCCTTACCACCCCGCCCCTGCCCTACAGGAGATCCGTGAGCTGCAGTCTCAGATCTCAGACACGTCTGTGGTGCTGTCCATGGACAACAGCCGCTCCCTGGACATGGACAGCATCATCGCTGAGGTCCGTGCCCAGTATGAGGACATCGCCAACCGCAGCCGGGCTGAGGCTGAAAGCATGTACCAGATTAAGGTAAAGAACAGGGTTGTAAGCCTGGGCCTCCCTTCCTGGCCAGTTCTGTGCCCTGGATCATGAGGAGGGAACTCATGTGGGCTGGTTCTGCAGAATGGAAGCCTGGAGTTCTGGAACGGGACCTTCATTGCTGTGTGTGTGTGTGTGTGTGTGCGCGTGCGTGCGTGCGTGCGTGCGTGCGCGCGCGCATGCATGCACATACTTAGGCATGCTTCTGCACATATGTAGGAGGTTGGTGGGTGAGATGACCCAGGCTTTTGTGGCTTCACCAAGACGGGCTCTCCCAGCTAGAACCTCACTTCCCTTCTTGCCCCTGCAGTACGAGGAATTGCAGGCCCAGGCTGGGAAGCATGGGGATGACTTGCGTCGCACCAAGACCGAGATCTCTGAGATGAACCGCAGCATCAACCGCCTGCAGGCGGAGATCGATGCTCTCAAAGGCCAGGTACTGCTGGACTTGGGTGGGACTGGGGAGAACCGGGGTTGAGAGTGGGAGGGGCAGCTTCTCGGCTGCTGTGGGCGTCGCCATGAGCAGCATCTAGGGAAAGAGCTCCGGGTGGTTGGCTAGAGTCCAGGTCCCATTCCCCCAGGCCTGCTCTACTAGTCTGCCATACGCAGGGCAAGGCTGGGTTTTGCTACTTGATGAAAAGTCTAGAAGCTAGGGATCTGATCCGGATAAAGCAAAGCTCTTGCATCGCCACAGGTGGAAGTGTGAGCGGGAAATGCCCGGAAGCAGCTCCCGTTGCTTCCCAGGTTTGCTCAGTGTCACCTGTCGATGATGGATGGATGGATGGATGGATGGATGGATGGATGGATGGATGGATGGAGTTGGTCTAAGTCAGAGAGGGGAGACTTTCAAAGAAGCTCAGGGTGGGGCTGGGCATGTAGCTCAAGTTGCTCAAGTGCTTGCCTAGCAAGCCCAAGGCCCTGGGTTCAGGACTGCATACAACCAGGAGTGGTGGTACACACCAGTCACCCCAACGGTCAGCAGGCTGGAACGGGAGGATTGCTGTGAGTTCAAGGCCAGCTTGGACTATATAGTGAGTTCTAGGCCAGCTTGGGTTTTAAATCAAATGACAACCAAAGAAGCCCAATGTGGATGGATTTTTAAAGGGAGGAGACATACCAGATGCCATCTGCTTATCTGTCTCCTTCCCCACAGAAAGCAACCCTGGAGGCTGCCATTGCTGATGCCGAGCAGCGTGGGGAGATGGCCATTAAGGATGCCAATGCCAAGCTGGCCCAGCTGGAGGCTGCCCTGCAGCAGGCCAAGCAGGACATGGCCCGGCAGCTGCGCGAGTACCAGGAGCTGATGAACGTCAAGCTGGCGCTGGACATCGAGATCGCCACCTACCGCAAGCTTCTGGAGGGCGAGGAGAGCAGGTGGGTCTGGAGGTCTCTCCTGGGAAGGGCAGGTGCTGTCTGGAGCCTCCCTGGGACTTGGGTTCTGCTGGGGGAGGAAAGAAAGGGCCAAGAGTTGGTCCTGACATCCGTGTATCTGGGTACAGGCTGGAGTCCGGAATGCAGAACATGAGCATCCATACGAAGACCACCAGTGGCTACTCAGGTGAGTGTCCTGGGTGTTAGGGGTGGAGGGCAGAGGACCCAGGAAGTCAGGGCTCTGGAAGAGGCTGTGCTCAGTGGCAGTTGACAAAGGGAAGGGGTAGGACCCCTGTTCTTGGGAGAATCCCGGGGTGATTGACGATAGACTAAGGACCTAAATAATATCCTCACTAATAGAAAGTCCCACACAGATGCTAGCTGTGTGCCAGGCCCGTCTAAGTTCCTTACGTGTGTTATCGTGGGCTCTAATGAGTCTTCACATTCCTCTCCAAATAGCGGAAAGAAGGGCTCCGCTGAGTGCTGGTCAGGCACATGCAGCTGGTAGGGAAGTCTCTCCTGTGCTGGGTCTGCTTCTCCAGACAGCTGAGCTGTGACCCACCTAGTAATCAGTCAAGTCTGGGCCAGCCTCTCCATCTACGGTTACCAGAGAGTGACTAGGGAGAAGGGGTCCTAAGCCTGTGCTCACGTGGCTGTCTCCCTCTCTCCCCCTTGCCCTGGACCAGGAGGGCTGAGCTCAGCCTATGGGGGACTCACCAGCCCCGGCTTCAGCTATGGCATGAGCTCCTTCCAGCCCAGCTTCAGCTCTCTCGGAGGCTCCAGCACGATCACTCGCACCAAGGCTGTGGTTGTGAAGAAGATCGAAACCCGTGATGGGAAGCTGGTGTCGGAGTCCTCCGATATCCTGCCCAAGTGAACGGCCGCTGGAGCCGTCGCCAGCCTGTGCTTCTGCAGCTGCTCGGGGCTCATGGGGGAGACAGCTGTATGGCCGAGTGCAGGGAACAGGATCAGCCCTAGCCTTCTGGCCAACCTTGGGAGGGATCTTCCATCTGGGGTACCCCTCTGGCCCCCACCTCCCTCCCAAACCCAATGCAATTGTATTTTCCAAAATAAAGCCCCAGCTGGCTCCATCAACTGGCTCTGCTATGTGTATGTATGTGGGTGGGGAGGGATGGGCAGGGGGGTCCTTCCTGGGGCATGGAAGCTTGGTGTGCAGGGCAGGCAAGTCTCCTCCAGGCTGTTCCAAAAGAATGTGCCTTGGTTGATGCTCTGGCTACAGACCATGGCTTTTTTTCTTTTTCTTCTTTTAAGATCTATCTATCTATCTATCTATCTATCTATCTATCTATCTATCTATCTATCTATCTATCTATCTATCTATCATCTGTCTATCTGTCTGTCTATCTATCTATCTATCTATCTATCTATCTATCTATCTATCTATCTATCTATCTATCTTTTGTGTATACAGTTTTCTGCCTGCATGCCTGCACTACAGGCCAGGAGAGGGCACCAGAAGGCTGTGAGCCACCCTGTAGTTGTTGGGAATCGAACTCAGGACCTCTGGAAGAGCAGCCAGTGCTCTTAACTTTGGACCATGGCTCTTGACCAGTGCAGAGCCTCTTACAGTTTGCAGCAGAGTTTCGGATATTCAGGCTCACTTGAGCTTTGCAGCAGTACACTTGGCAAGGAATCAGGTTGGGGTGGTCCTATCAGAGAGTCTTCTGCTGTTGCCAGACCTCAGCATCAGGACCACTCACAGAAAGTGGCTGAGCTGGGCGTGGAAGTCAGGACTATGCAATTCTCAAGCCTGTCCTTGAGCAAACACACAGCTCCCTTGTGTCCATCCAGGTGTCTTTGCCAGGGGCCTAGGAGGTCTGGGTTCCTATCCCTGCAGATGTCCAGAGTCTATTTTTAGTGATGGGTGTGTGGTGCCTGTAATTTCTAGATGCCACGATAGTTCAGTGCAGGACTTGGCACTGATATATGGGTTTGTCCCTGCTCCTCACCGTCACACCCACCCACATTGCTTCACACCACCCTTTCCTCCCTTTTAACGCTGTGCTTGATAGAGTGGGTGTGTGTGGAGCCAGTGTTTGCCTGTGGAGGGTGGACTGTGTGCTTTGGGGTGTAGCTAGGCTCCTTGAAGTGTGTACAGGGGTTTGCCCGCCTGTCCTGTCTCCCGAGGTTTAGGGCCGGAGACGGCCGGATGAAGCATGGCCACAGCTCCTGCACCACTGCCATCAGTGTGGAGTTTCTGGCTGTCACACGGTCCGTGCACTGCTGGACTAGGTGTGCGTCAGAGCTTAGCACCACTGCTGAGGCTTAAACTATATCAACTCTGTTGGAAACGGATGGAGAATAAACAGATACGCGGGACAGGAAGTAGGAACAGACTAGTCCAGGAAGCTCACGGGTGGCCCCTCTGTGGCTAGGGTACTTATATTCCAGGTCCCTGACATCTTCCTGGCCCCGTGGAGCTGGGCTTTTAGGCCAGCATTGTCCTTCCAAGCTCTCTTTCCAGCTCTCAGCCAGGGCCAGGAAACAACCCAGTAAGGGACTTCAGTCATAACTGTGTTCCTGTGCTGGTCAGAGCCTGGGCACCGACAGCCCCAATATGCCAGGTCTGGCCACCTGTCCTTACTTAATAAGCCAATTAAACAAACCAACGATAGTGAAAAACAGAAAAAAGAATCCTCAACATGGCCACATTGGGAAGAGGGACAAAGACATACAGTGACCGCCCCAAGTCTATTTTCAGAGTCCTGGCCTGAGATTTGGGTTTAAGATGAGGACCGGAGCTTAGCTGGGCAGTCCAGTCCTGGCCAGGGTGTGGTCCCACCCACCCCTCAGCCATCTTTGTCTTGGCTCCAGTCTTGCCTGCAAGGTGGTCTGACAAATGATAAATCTCAGGGAAACAAACTCCCCCCCATGTGGCTGGGCCAGGCTTCCTGAGCGTCTCGATTTCAGTGTGTTTTGTTTTAGAACTGTTAGCAGAATTGAGAGACCCAGGTGTCTCTTTGTCCCTTCCGATGCTGCCACATTGAGTAAATCTCCTTTTAGAGTTGGGGACAAAGCCACAGCACTGCCAGCTAGAGCAGAAGCTGTCTGTTTTGGGGTTGCCCCATCAATCCATGGGAAATTCTTAGTCTTTTTTTTTTTTTTTTTTTTTTCCCTAAATCAGCTTAAGGGACCACTGTTACGGCACCTGCTTGACCTCACGGGCAAACCCTCTGTATTTTAAAAACTTGACATTTTATTTGTCTATTTCTGTAATTACTCATTTATCTATTGTGTAAAGACAGGTACATGAATGTGGCGGTCGGAGACCGCCTTGTGGAAGCTGTTCTCACCTTCGCCCTGTGGTCCTGGGAGTGGAATTCAGGTTGGCAGCCTTGGCATCAGGGGCCTTTACCGTCTGAGTTATCTCCATGTTACTCCTTCCCCCCACCCCCTTCTTCTTTAAATATAGGGTCTTATTGTAGCCTAGACTGGCCTTGAACTCACTACCCTCCGGCCTCCGATGGGTGACAAGTGCATCATACTACCACACTTAGGGGTAAATTCAGTTTTATTATGGTTTATAAACGCAAGCATAAGCGAGTCCCAGGAAACAGGAGGATAGTTATCAGGAGTGCTCCGGGCAATCAGAACCCAGGGAGAGGGACCTTTTGCCGACTGGTGCCCCAAGTCAATATTTTCAGTTGTGCACACCCAGTCCTTGAAGCCACCACCTGTCTTATCAGGTCCTGCTGCCAGGCAATGGGCAGGTCGGGAGGAGCCTTCCCTCATGGTTGCCAGATGATCTCCACACCCTAGGTGTTTGTTGAAGAAAGGCCGTCCGACTCTTCCACGCTGGAGTCCTGTCTTCTCTCGGGTCTTCTCAAGGCCGCCCATCGCTCAGGAGTTACCCTCCTTTGCCCGTCAGAACTTATGTATTGAGTGGAAAAGCAGCCAGTGCTCTTAACCACTGAGCCATCTCTCTAGCCCCTACTTTTATTTTTACTATTATTATTTTTTTTTTTTAGATAGGGCCTCACTGTGTAGTCCTGGCTGTCCTGGAGCTCTCTATGTAGCCCAGGCTGGTCTCACAGCTGTAACACACAGAGACCTGCCTGCTGCTGCCTCCTGAATGCTGGAATTGTATGCACAACCACATTCAACCCTGTCGTAATTTAAACACTCACAGAGGATGGGGGTGTAGCTTAGAGGTAGAGGGTTTGTCTATCACACAGAAGGTCTTGAGTTCCACCCTAAGCACTCAGAACATCTTTTTCTCCCTTAAGCAAATGCAGGGGCTGTGGATGTAGCTCAGTTGGTAGAGCACTTGCCTAGCATGCATGAAATCTTGGGTTGGATCCCCAATACCACATAAGCCAGGAATGGTGGCACAGACCTGTTATCCCAGCGCTCAGAAGGTAGAGGTAGAAGGATCAGAAGTTCAAGTTTGAGGCCAGCTTGGGATATAGGAGACCTTGTCTCAATGAATGAATGAATGAATAAATAAATGAAATCCAGTCCTTATTTATACGAGGAAACTCAAAAGAATGGAAGATAAAAGTTCTTAAGCATACCTAGCCCTGAACACTTGTAGGTACTCCATCTGGAAAGTCAGCCAATCATGAACAGAAAACATTCCAGGAAAAAGGATTGCACCCATATCTCATACATCCAGATTTCCCCCTTGTCCTTATTATCTATATAAAACAGTCTAACATTGTGTAGCTTTACATGATATTAAAAGCAGACTCACGATGACTCAAAGTATAAGGAAGAGTTCAGTTGGGGTAGCCCAGGCTTGTAACTGCAGCTCTTGAGAGGCTGAGGCAGAAGGGTTGTGAGTTCATTGTCAGCCTGGGCTATCAAGCTAGACCTTGTCTCAAATCAAAACCTAAACACAACCAAACAAAAAGCACCCAAAACAAACTAAATAAAATCAAAGCAAAATGGAAGTCAAGGGACGGGAGTGTATATTAGGTTCAGTGCAGATCGCAAATGATTTTATTTGAGAGGCTGAGATTCTGAGTTTTCACAAGGACTGAGGCACAGCTGTGCCTGCTGCCCTGCAGGGCTTTCGCTTAATGAACAGGGAAAAAAAAAAAGACTGCTCCTGGTACGGTGGAGGAGAAAGTTTATTATAGACATGTAGGAGAGCATGGCCAGAAGCAGGAACATCTGGGAGAGTCCAGAGTGGACATGACCCTGGGCCATGGGAGGAGAGGGGGGGGAGGTGAGAAGGGAGAGCATCTGCTGACCAAGAGGGGTAGCCTGGGCCAAGAGACCGGCCTGAAGAGTAGATGAAAAGACCAGGTGTGGAGGTCTGAAAGAAAATGGCCCCCATAATCTCATTGGGAGTGACACTATTAGGAGGTGTGGCCTCGTTGGAGGAAGTGTGTCAGTCACTATGGGGACCAGCTTTGAGGTCTCCTATGCTCAAGGTTGGCCCAGCGTCTCAGTCCACTTTCTGTGGCCTGTGGATCAAGATGCAGAATCCTCAGCTCCTTCTCCAGCACCGTGTCTGTCTGCTGCATACGAAACTCACAGATGCCATGCTCCCCGACATGATGATAATGGACTAAACCTCTGAACTGTAAGCCATCTCAATTAACTGTGTTCCTGTATAGAAGTCGCTGTGGTCATGGTGTCTCTTCACAGCAAAAGAAACCCTAGGACACCAGGTAACCAAAATGGCTGGATTATATAGGGAAGGGCAGCTCAGCCCCTGGGCTGGAGAAGTTTAGGGTAGAGGGCGGGGTATCCTGGCTAGGAGGACCCTGTATCAGGTAGGGACTGAGGGATGCAGGGAGGACCTGGTGGCCAGGTCTGCTTTGATACGTTAAACAGGCACCCTAGCCTTTATCCCGGTTTGAGACTTAGCACTTAACAACTTACACCACTGATTACCCTGAAAAGCAGGCCAGAGCCCCAGAGTCACCAATGTCCTTTTGGTCACACTGGATTTTTATCATATGTAAGCTAAATTAAAAAAAAATGCTTCCTGCTTTTGAGTGCCCCAGACGGGCATGCTATGTACAGTTCAAGAACCCTGCCCAGTTGCCCGGTTTCTCTCGCGAAGGGCAGCTGGGCTGTGTCACCTGTGAGTTGTCCCAGCTGGTGTCTGTGTGTGTACAGTT